GAGGCATATATCGATGTATTAGACAGTATCTGAACTCAAGACAATTATCAGTCTTATCATTGGCACAGAAACATTGAAAATATTGTAAAGGGCACACCACCTAAATTCTATAATTAACATTTTACTATACAATATTTTCTCATATTACTTTTGGTTTATATATATTTTCATTTTCTATGAACTATTCATCCCTCTATACAGCCATCAGTCCATCTTATATTTTTAATGACTTTCAAAAAAAGTTGCAGACATAAGTATGTTTCACCCCCAAATAGTTCAGCATACCTATCATTAACTAGAGTTTAAATTAAATTTTAACAATTTTTAGAGAAAATTTACAAGTATGAAATGCACAAATCTTAAGTGTAGCATTTGCAGAATTTTACAAATGATTATGTCTCTATGACCCAAACTCCTATCAAAGCACAGAACATTACAGTCACCCAAAAGGTTCCCTCATTCCTGTTCTCAGTCAGTCCCCACCCCAACTCCCAACTCTAGAGAAAACACTGTAGGGATGCTTTTGTATACCAAAAATTAGTTTTGTAGATAATTTTTAAATCCAAAATTTAAAGCAAAGCATAATCATCAGGCTGATGAATCAAAAAAGACTTCATATATATATATATAGATGTACAGATACATGACAAAATGCTTAACAATAGTAGAAATTAGTTGGCATATGAGTATACTTGTTATCTATTTATTATCTCTCAGACTGAAACCTACCTTTCTTTGTCCCACTTTGTGACTCTGTACTTAGACTCTCAACATTTCTCCTTTACCAACTTAAGAGAGGGCAATGGAGTGCTCCTATAAGGTAATAGCAGCAGCAAGACACCATCACTTCTGGATTCTGGTCCTCCATTACTATTATTATTCAACATGAGAGTCCAGGAGCCTTGCTGAGGAGACAAGTTACAACTGCGGCCTCAGGTCCCAGTCTCCCCACTGATAGTGGGCACTTCTGCAAACCATGGAGCTATGGTAGACATGCCCTTTTGGAAGAGGTCTGAATCCAAGTTTTGGGAAGAAGGGCTCTCTCCCATGGGATCTTGCTTCCCCAACCTAAAAGCAGAAACTACTCTTTGCACCTGCTACTGCTTGGACTCAGACTCAGCTTTTTTACTCTATTCAATAGTTAACCACCCCTTCCCTTGTTCTGGTTACCAACTCATCATATTCAATTTTCAAATTACCAGTACAGTTCTGTCTCTTAACTGACTCAGACTACAATAAACGGTATTCTCTGTACCCTGGATGTTTGAAAATGTTGGGGAGGAAAACGAGGGATGTATATTTTAAAAGATTGGCAAAATATTGATAATTGTTGAAGCTGGATGATGAACTGAGAAAATTATACTATCTCTTTGTTTTGTGTATGTTAGAAATTCTGCACTAATGAGTTAAGAAAAAAGAAAAAAACAGCTTGGAGAGAACCTAGTGGAATGGATTTTAGGCAGAAACAGAACATGAGATTCCAGTTGAGGAAAAAGCACAAATCAAATATGGAGGAAAAAAAACAAAAAACTGAAGGACGTGTGTGAGCAGCAGCAAGTAGGTTGGCTAAAGATAAGACATATAATGCAAATGAATACATTTAGTGAGATTTTTTCCCTCCCTTTTAACCTTCACTACTGTATGTTCACAAACTCAATTGCTTTCCTTTCTCCCCTACTCCGCTGTCCCTGCTCCAGCCTATACTTCTTATTGTTAAGGTCTAGCTCTTCCTACTCCCCACTTCTTATAAAAAAAAATTGATCCATTTCAGGGTCTTTCATATGTCTTAAATTTTTCAAAGACAATAGTCATGATTATATCTGTGTTTGGACACATTTATGAGAAAATGTAGATACATTTATGCATATGCAGCAGTGCATTTTTTACAAATAGAGCCACAAGTAGTGACATAAAACAAGTTTTCATAATTTCTAGTTAGTAGGGAATAGGGGAAAGCATTAGTGGATTTATTATTATTATTTATAACTCCCATTACTTTCTTTTTAAGGTCACAAAATACATCTATAGTCAGAAGAGTGAAAATACATGCATGTGTGTGTATATATATCAGTACATTATCTCTCTAAAGAGATTGGTAATATTCTTTGTTAAACTGGGTGGTAAGTACATTTGAACAAATAATAAAATTAATACCCCATGTTTTCTGTACCCACCAATACATATAAAGTCCCCTTAGGTCCCTCTCCAGTGACATCTCTCTTCTTTCTCATTTCTTAAAAATGGCAATTATTGTGAAATTTGATTTACAAAAAGCATGTTTGTTTATCCACACTGAAAATATTATAAATTATAAACCCAGCAAGACCTTTAGTAGGAAGAACTAATAATAGAGATAAGGAAAAGAAAGTAAATATTTCCAAATAAAATATATATTATGAAAATTCATAAAAAGCACATATGAATACAGACCTGTTACACACATTAAAATATACAGATGCCCCCAACTGGATTCCTCTCTCTCCTAACCCCCATGATTGGTAGGGTCTGAACCAGTCACACTATTTTAAGCCTCTACATATGGCACATACTCTTCCATTTACTTAGAATGTGGCAGGGACAAAGGTATTCCAAAATAACAGACAGCAGCAGACTGTCTATTGTTCAGTGTCACCAGGGAAATGAGTCATCTTTCTCAAATCCTACTGAAGACATGGGCTTGCTGATGCTGTCTGGTTCAATGTCCATGATAATGTAATGCTCGTAAACATTCTTTTAAATAGACATAGGGTGTTCTTCCACATTCAAAAGACAATGGTTAAGACAAGAATTGGGTTTTCTTTCGTTTGACAGCACCCTTCCTTTGCAGCATCACAAACAGCTATGCACTCTATAGGGAACACAGTGGCAAAAGAAATGCCTCCAGCAACGATCTGTTGCAGCTGCTCCTGCTCTGGCTGATGCCTTGCTGCCACTAAATTCTAGCAGCTGTGCAATACAACTGTGTGTGATAAATAGTCCATAGTTTATAGCCCTGGCTGGCGTAGCCCAGTGGATTGAGCGAGGACTGGGAACCAAAGTGTCGCAGGTTCGATTCCCAGTCAGGGTACATACCTGGGTTGCAGGCCATGACCCCCCGCAACCACACATTGATGCTTCTCTATCTCCCTCCCTTCCCTCTGTAAAAATAAATAAATAGTCCACAGTTTGTTCCATGTGGTTACTGAGTACTTGAAATGTAGTTAGCTTACATTTAATTGTAATTAATTTAAATTTAAATTAATTACAATTTTTACAATTTTAATTTAAATAGCCATGTGTGACCACAGGCAACAGTCTTGGACAACACAGTTCTAGAAGCTTAAAACAGATAAATCAGGAACTTAATGTATTGTTGGGAGTTTTCTGACATAGACATGGCATTTGAAACCATGCAACTCATGAAATAGATCACTTAAGTGTAGACAAAAGCATACAGGCACTCCAATGTTAAGAGGTCAGAAGTGAAAAAGAACTTGGCAAGGAACACTGGGAGGGGGCAAGCAGTAACATAGGAGGAAAACCAGAAATGTTGTCTGAGAACCAAGTAAATAATCTGATTCAAAGAGGAGAGAGTAATTCAGCTATGGCAAATGCTACTGATAGATCAAGTTGAAAAGTAAGGTGTTATATTTCTTTCCTACAATAACACACCCACCAAAACCGAAGAGCAAAAATCTGAAAGTTACCATTTGGCATTCACTTACCAATGATAAAAATGTTATCTAGTATAGATATTTCATTCACATTCATTACACATTGTAGAATGATACTAATCTAGAACATCACATTTTCCTTTTAATATCCACATGAAACAGGGTTTCAGAGTACAAAAATTCTCTTGGGCAGCATTAAATATAAATGAAAACCTCTTAAGTTGTTTTACCAGCTGAGAGTACCTGAAACAATCAGTGTCTCCCATTCAGCTGCTACGCTTTCCTTAGAAGTGCAGGTTGGTATCATTTAAAGATCAAGATGTTTTAAGGAACGCCCAGTTACCAAAAGAGAATTAGCAAAACTGTCAACATTCACAAAGACTTGGGAGAAAAAGTTAGAACCGTAGACTGTGAACTCCAGGAACGGAGTGGCTCGACTCCCACACAACAGGCGCTCAATGTTTTTCATTTCACTTTAAAAGAGTTGCATCTTACAGCTGGATGGAGACCCTCTAGAACACTGTTGCCCCAACACTGCGCGGAAAAGGCTCCGGCAAGCTGGCGCGCACCCGCACATCAGCACCAGAGTATTACAGCACCAAAGTAAAGGCAACGCCGAACGGCGCACAACTGCATCCAGGACTTTCAAGTTTAAAAGAAAACCCCTGTCCTCCGGCCCGGGCTCACCTGCCTCCGGAGTGGAGAAGACGCGCATCCACTCCAGAGATGAGGTGAATGTGTCCTCAACTTGTCATCGGACACATTTTGGGGTGGAGGGTCCCCTGCTAAAGAAGGGGGAACCGGGAGGGCGCGGCACACTTACTCGGTCTGCTGAGTTGCAGAGGAACTGCCTCCACTGATTCTTCAGGTACCCCTCCACAGCCTCGTTTGCTCGCGATTGCTAGCTCACCTAGTTGCTTAGCAACAGGAGAAGCGGTCCAATCTCCATGACACGTCAATTCCTCCCGCCTCTCCAGTGTGAGAATAGTTTTTTAAAAGATTTTGTTTCCGGGTCGAGCAGGCAGTACGCAGCGGAAGGTCTCTTTACCTCCCACATTTACCCTTGGGGGAGGATAGTCTCAATTGTGCACAGCTGGACGATGTACATAAGGGGTCTGACTCGACTCCCTCCACCTGCTGAGCACCATCAAGCAGTCCTTTCCTCCTGAGTCCAAAGTATCTGATTCCTCCAATCACAGCGGCTCGCCTCCGGGGACTACTTTTCGATGGGCGAGGAGCGCAGATAGAAGGGCGTGAGAAGACTCTCTGATCTCGGGAAGTGTAGTTCAATACTTGAAGAAAACGAGTTAGATAGTGCGCTAGAATCGGGGAAGCATAAACTACAGTTCCCAGAGGGCACCGCGGTCTGGAGCGGAGCCTTTTTTCTCAAATAGCGCGCGCCCTCCCCTTGTGGTTCCACGGTAGAGGTGACCTGACTCCCCGAGGCTCGTTTTGCAGGTGCCGAAATTGTCCACGCAGTTCCGAATCATGGTGAGTGTGGGCCCCCACATCTTGTCACATCTGGCCTTCACTGCCTCATGTGGGGTTTGTTGCTCTTGAAGGACTTTTGGAGGACGACTGTGCAAGATACTGTCCTCGCTCTTTGAAAAGCTCCGACTTACCTTCTGGGGACTGTCGCAGTGACCCAGTAATTGGGAAGGGGGTTCTTAAAAGGACTGGAAAAATCTGTTTTGGGGAAGACGTGATCTCAGTTCTGCTGCATGGCTGAGGCATAAAAATATGAAGCTGTGGAATTTCTCCAAAGCACAATATGGAGTTTAATATTGGGGTTGGGGGGCGGGATCCTAACCTTTTTTTTCTCCTGTTATGCCCACAGTGTATTTAAGGTCTTTTGTCACAAAGCCCTTGAAAGCAGAAGGCTCTTGACTGTAAAGATAGTGTTTACCATGTGCTCCAGATTACGATCTACGTTTTCCGAAGACGTGTTTCAGCCATATCTAATTTAATGCCATTTAAAACCCGCTCATTGAACTTTGGTAGTACCAGGACGTGTTGCCGTGACTGCATTAGCAGCCAAATAACTAGTGCATTTAGTCTTTACTGATCTGTATGTTTTGAAATCTAGAACCACTACTTTTTTTATTTTGTTTTTTAATTATTGTATTTTTCCATACCCATTTATCCCCTTTTACCCTCTTCCACCTCCACCCACCCCGCTCCCCACTACTTTTAAATGTTACACAATGGAACCATCTTGTCAGGAAGATCTGGATACCTAGATTACCACATCCTGTCTCTGCTGAAAGCAGAAGGGGGGATGGTGAGGGAACTCTGAGGTAGGAATGATCTGCCTGCAGTTTGAAGGTGACATTTGACATCAGACTGAAAAATTGTTTCAGTACTTGTATTTATAGTTGAGACTATTTGTCCTGAGCAAAATACTAAAATGGGTGGGGAGTGTGGGAAAATATTTGAATAGATTGGAAATTTTCCATAACCTGAACAAAAGTGAGGGCATTACTCCATCTACTTTTATTATAAGGGAGCCAGTGGGGGCAGCTACTAATTCTCAGTTAAACCTAGATTTCTTACTGATTTCATGAGATAATGTATTTAATCATGTAAATTATGGTTTCAGTGGTTCCTGACCTAATCTTAGCGAAAAAGCAGAGGCATTTATTATCAGAGACTTGCAGACTTTATAATTTTATAATTGATGGAACCTTTTAAAAATCATTTTGACAAATCTCCTCACTTAGTATCTTAAAATTGAGTTTACTGAAACCCAAAGAGAATGTGACTTGTTCAAGGTCACACAACAGTTTGCCTGCAAGGGTCTTACTACACTCTATTTTACCATATTGTGTCATACAGGCACTTATCAAGTCATTAAGAAAATTTATTTTTAGTAGCCGAGGTTCTGGATGAAGTTACAAGCTCATTCTGCAAATATAAATTAAAATGTGTTATCAGCATTCATATTAGCTCATAACTATTCCTTGCAACTTAGAATAATGGATTTCTAGAATGGGAAGGGAATTTGGAGATTATTTTCTCTAATCTTGAAACATAGCCTGGTGAGGTCATATGATTGTCCCAAGGTCACAGAGAGATCCTGGGCTCCATTCTTGTATTGATATGCTAAGCAGTGCATCAAGCCAGGCCTCATCCCTGGAAGGTCACTGTGTACCTTTATGAGGACCAATCATTCTGTCACTATGCCAGAACTGACCCCAAATTCTCACATTACTCGGAATCTCTTTACCTTCTCAAAATGGTGTATGAGCAGTCACGGAGTTAGAAAAGAGCCATCTTCTGGTAAACTATTCAAAGCTGTTTATTAAAGAAGGGAATTCTTTGTGTCCTTCGGTAAGGAGTAACAGCAAGAATAATCTATATGAAGAAATGTGAACAATACTGTTTGTCTTTTATGTTACAGAAATATATAAAAATTAAAAAGAAAAAAGGAATACATGAGTCTTTCTGTAGAATAACAGAAGGAACACTTAAATTCAGGCATTACAACTGAGACTTGATCACATGTACAAGACAGCCTGCATATGTAAGAAGGTCATTAGTGCCCTGCGAAGAGAAAAGACATTTTCTTTGGATCTTGGCAGACTGCCCAGATATCTAAGCAAAGAATAGTAACCTGTCTTCACACTGTAACATTGTGAAAATCAGCAGAAAACTCCCACCCTCCTGCTTTTCAACTGCAATGTTCCAAAGAGCAGAAAGAACCAAATACAGTTTGTTCTTTTGCTTTTCATCATCAAACATTCAGACACTAACTAGGCTTCTTGCTGCTTTTAGCTAGATGGAATTACCTGCCTGTGAAAATAAGTTGCTCAAAGATACAGAAGAAGGAAACTGCTGAGGTAGAATTAGTTGGCTGTTCATTAGTTGGCCACAGACCCTTCCCTAAGGACCATGAAACTGTGAACACATTTTTTAGTAGCTAAAATTAATGCCTAAAATTGACTGCATTATTCTGTTATAACCATCTACCTGACTTTCTGGGAGGCTAAGCTTTATAGATAGTGATATTCCCACTCATTTCTTATCCCAGCTTGCTTTACATTGAAGTATCATGTGTTCATAGTTTTCTTAGTTCTTATTTTCATTCACTCAACACATTTGCTGAGTGCTATATGGGTTGCAAATTTGAGTTGAAGGTGAACTGCTCTCAGTTCACAGTCTGAACTCAGCTGGTGTGAAGTTGGGGGGAGGGGTGTGGTTCACAGTCTAATGGAAAGTAACAGACATGTAAAGAGAAAACCACAGGCTATAATCTTAGAAAAAAATTCTATGGTAACATCTATAATTATAGTACTTGCTACACACTGTTCTTAATGCTTTGTATGTTACCTCTTCAATCCTGTTACAACTACCTTATTTGTTAGATAGCTGCTATTATCTCCATTTTACTGTAGGGAAACTGAATACAGAGGAGTTAAGTAACTTGCCCAGGAATATACAGCACACCTGAGGAGTTGTGGAGTCAGGATATAAATTCAGAAGTCTGGCCTTAGAGGCTGTATCTTTACTACAGTCTACTGCCTTGCTAGCCGTCGGGCCTAAAATATAGTATCAGATACGTAGAGGTTCAGTGAATGGCATATTGCTTAAGGAATGAATGGAGTGAGATAACAGCTCATCTATTGATTTATAAGACTATATCATTGGAACTAGTGACATAAAATAATTTTGCTAACTAAAACTATAATGTCATTAAGTTTCCAATTTTCTCAATACTTTAGTATTCAAAGTGTATATTAATAAAATATTTTAAACAATTTTTGAAGTATGTTAGGTTTGTCTCCAAACAATTCCTTTTACATTTCCAGGTTTTTGGTAGTAATTTTACAAGATCCAGGTACTCCTTCAGTAATTATTTGAGTTCCGACTATGTGAAGGGAACTGTTCTTGGCAGCTGGGATGCAATAATAAATAAAATAGGCAAACCCCTGTCATTAAGAAGTTTGCATTCTAAAGAGGAAGGAACTAATTTCCTCTATTCCCTTTTTCTCACCTACTCCAAGGGAAGAGGGGGAAATGACAAAAGTATGTAAAGGCCATGTGATAGAAAGTAACCATATACAAAAATTTAGTGTTCTTTATGAACCTAAAGTTTATTTTGGAACATAACTATGTATTAAAATTAGTTTACTGGGGGAACTATCATGTTGTATATTTAGAGACATGGATGGGGAAGAGCATCAGGGAGAAAGTCTTCACAGTTTTTTCCTTTTTTTTCCCCACTCCCACCCTGGTGACATCTTTAAGAAAGGAAGTACACACATAAGTCTCCTATGATCAGATTCATTTCTCTACAATTTGGCACTTGTTTCCTGAGACATTTTTTCCAGTGATTTTTTTGGGTACCAAAATAAATGCTCCTGAATTTCAGAGGGTAGGGTTGGAAGGTTAAAAGGACCCCTGACAGTGATAGGCTTCTTCCATCCCGTCTCTGGAAGAGGGAATTCTAAATATTGGGTTGGCCAAAAAGTCCATTACAATTTTTCCATATGATGGCTCTAGTAGTGCTTAGTTATCTTTAACTTCATTTGAAACAATTTTGTTAGATTGTATTGTGACAGCTATCATACCAGTGTGGATTTAAAACAAACTTACCAAAATTGATGAATTTTCATGCAGCCATTTTAATATTGAAGATGGAAGAAGATACACAGTATTTTCAGTATATCATGATTTATTCAAGAAAGAGGAAAACAACTGAAGTGCAAAAAAAGATTTATGCAGTGCATGGAGAAGGTGCTGTGACTGATAGAACATGTCAAAAGTGTTTTGCAAAGTTTCTTGGTACTGTTTTGTCCAAATGATTCTTTGATCTGGGGCTGTCTTATGCATTGGAAGATGTTAGCAGTACCTCTGGCCTCTACCCACTAGAAGCCAATAGCAGGAGATAGCCAACATACTCAAAATATCAAATCAATAAAGTTATTGGTGAAAATGAAAAATGTGTCTTATTCTACCGGAAAAAAAAAAACCATACAGAGTTTTTGGCCAACCCAGCATTTAAAAAAATCAAATGCTTCTATCCTGGTCAATTCATTAGGCCTCTCATGCAGGTAGTGATAGAGGTGACACGAAGTGGAAGTCCATTTAACTTTATTTTCATGACTCAAGGTCATCACTTTGATATAGTTATTTTTGTATACATGTCCTTATTTTGTTAAGGGTCTGTTGAGATTGATAAGGCAACTTCACTCTATTATAACTAGTATGTACTTTGTACTTCTCCCCCTTCCTTTTATTTTTTTAAATTTTACTGTATTTTTTACATTAATTTAGTCCCTTTATACTCCCCTCTCCCCCCAGCAATCACCACACTGTTACCCATGTCCATAAGTCCTTTTTCCTTTTTGGTCAGTCCCTCCATCCTCTCACCTCACCCTCCCACTAGCTGTCATCTGTTCTCCATCTATGAGTCTGTCCCCATTTTCCTTGATAGTTCAGTTTGTTCATTAGATTCCACATGTAGGTGAAATCATGTGGTATTTGTCTATCTTTGACTGGTTTATTTTACTTACCATAATGTTTTCCAGGTCCATCCGTACATATTGTTGCAAAGAGTAGTATTCCATTATGTAAATGTCCTGTAGTTGTTTTATCCACTCATGTATTGATGGACACTTGGGCTGCTTCCATATCTAGGCAGTTGTAAATAACACTGCAATGAACATAAAGAAGTTTATGTTCTTTCGAGTTAGTGTTTTGGGTTCTTTCAGGTATATTTCAAGAAGTGGGATTGCTGGGTCAAAGGGCACATCCAGTGTTAACTTTTTGAGTGGTCTCCATTCTGCTTTCCACAGTGGCTACACCAGTCTGCCTTCTCACCAACAGTGCAAAAGGGTTCCCCTTTCTCCACTTCTTCAGCACTGAGCAATAGCAGGAGATAGCTAACATACTCAAAATATCAAATCAATAAAGTTATTGGTGAAAATGAAAAATGTGTCTTTTATTGATGGTAACCAGTTTCACAGATGTGAGATACCTATTGTGGTTTTAATTTGCATTGTTCTGATGGTTAGTGGTGTTGAGCATCTTTTCCTATGTCTATTGGCCATCTGTATTTCCTCCTCGGAGAAGTGTCTATTCAGAGCCTTCCCCATTTTTTTAATTCACTTGTGTTTTTTTGGCATTGAGTTTTTTAAGGTCTTTGTAAATTTTGGGTATTAATCACTTACCAGATGTATCAGCGAATATATTCTCCCATTCTGTGGGTTTTCTTTTTATTTTGTTGTTGATTTCCTTTGCTGAGCAAAAATTTTTAATTTGATATAGACCCATTTATTTATTTTATCTGTAAAGATGTGGGTTTATTTCTGGGCTCTCTCTTCTGTTCCATTGATCTATATGTTCATTTTTATGCCAGTACCATGCTGTTTTGATTATTATGGCCTTATAGTATAGCGTGGTTACTCCAATTTTGTTCTTTTTCAGGATTGCTGTTGCTATGCTGGGTCTTTTGTGGTTCCGTATAAATTTTTGAAATATTTGTTCTAGTTCTGTAAAATATATCATTGAAATCTTGATAAGAATTGCATTGAATCTATAGGTTGCTTTGGGTAATATGGACATTTTGATTATGTTAATTCTTCCTATCCATGAATGTGGTATATGCTTCTACTTTCTTCGGTGTCTTACAGTTTTCCAAGTACAGGTCTTTTACATCCTTGGTTAGGTTTATTCCTAGGTATTTTATTCTTTATGAAGCAATCATGAAGGGGATTGCTTTCTTAATTTCCCTTTTCTGTTCCTTATTGGCATATAAAACTGCAACTGATTTCTGGATATTAATTTTTATCCTGCTACTTGACTGAATTCATTTATCACCTGCGGTTTTCTTGATGGAATCTTTGGGGTTCTCGATGTACAGAATCATGCCATCTGCAAATAAAGACAGTTTTACTTCTTTCCAATTTGGATGACTTATTTCTTCTTGTTGTCTGATTGCTGTGACTAGGATTCCAGTACTGTGTTGAATAAGAGAAGTGAAAGAGGATATCCCTGTCTTCTTCCTGATCTTAAGGGGAACACTTGTAGTTTTTGCCTGTTGAGTAAGATTCTGGCAGTGGGTTTGTCGTATTTGGTGTTTATGTTTTACGTATTATGTTTAGCTATATTCCCTTTCTTCCCACTTTGCTGTGAGTTTTTATCATAAGTGAGTGCTTGATTTTATCACATGCTTTTTGTGCATCTATTGATATGATCATGTGACTTTTATTCTTTATTTTATGTGGTGAATCACATTTATTGATTTGCAAATATTATACTGTTCATTCTCAAAGTAAGTCCTACCTGATCATTGTGTATTCTCTTTTTGATGCATTGCTAATATTATTGAGGATTTTAGCATCTATGTTCATCAGGGATATTGGCCTGTAATTTTCTTTCTTTGTAGTGTCTCTATCTGGTTTTGGAATTAGGATAATGCTGGCCTCATAAAATGAGTTTGGGAGACTTCCCTCATCTTGAATTTTGTGAAATAGTTTGAGAAGGAGAGGTATTAGTTTTTCTCAGAATGTTTGGTAAAATTCACCTGTGAAGCCATCTGGTCCAGGGCTTTTGTTTATAGGGAATTTTATGATTACTGCTTCAGTTTCACTAGGAGTAATCTGTCTATTCAGATACACTTAATTCTTTCTGATTTAGTTTTGGAAAATTATGATTCTAGGAATTCATCCATTTCATCCAGGTTGTCCAGTTTATTGGTATATAGTTGTTCATAATATTTTGTTACAATCTTTTGTATTTCTTTGGTGTCAGTTGTTATTTCTCCTCTTTTATTTATGATGATGTTTATTTGGGTCCCTTCTCTTTTTTCTAGATGAAACTGGCTAAAGGTTTATCAATCTTTTTATCATTTCACAGAACCAGCTCTTGGCTTCATTGATCTTTTGAATCATTTTTTTAGACTCTTTCTTTTATTTCTGCTCTGACCTTTATTATTTCCTTCCTTCTACCCACTTTGGGCTTTGTTTGTTTTTCCTTTTAAAGTTCTTTTAAGTGTGAAGTTAGATTGTTTATGTACTCTGAGCTTCCTAGACTTGTGTGTCTTTTTCCTTCACCAGATTCGGGAAGTTTTTGCTCATTATTTCTTCAAATAAGTTCTCCATTCCTTGCTCACTCTCTATTCCTTTGGCTATTCCCACGATGTGGATATTGTTATGCTTCATTTTGTCCAAAATGTTTCTTAAGCTCTCCTCACTTTTTAAAATTTTTTTCTTTTTGTTGCTCTGCCTGGGTGTTTTCTTTTTTTTTTTTTTCACCTTGTCTTCCAAATCACTGATTCAATCCTATGCTTCCTCTAACCTTTTTATTCCTTCCAGTGTATTATTTATTTCAGTATTGGATTCTTTATTTAACTGGTCCTTTTTTATGGTTACTGTCTTTTTTCATGCTTTTGAGTATCCTTATAATCATGACTCCAAACTCCCTATCTGATAAATTGCCTGTCCCCATTTCATTTATTTCTTCTTCTGGAGAATTTTCTTGTTCTTTCATTTGGGGTCTGTTTCTTTGTCTTCCCATTTGGTCTGCTGCTTTGTATTTTCTGCCTTAGTTGTTAAACTGATCAGTTAAACTAATCAAGCTATAATCAGCAGCCCAGCTTAAGCTCCGCAGGGTGGGTTAGAGTAGTTCCTGCTAGAGAGGCTATTGCTTCCCATCAGGCTGATTCCATTCACAGAGGAGTGCTTTGCCTAAGAGAGATGGCCTCTGCAGTATGGGGAATGACTTAGCACAGGGATCCTCTTGGCTGTTCCTCCAGTTCTCTCCCCAGAGCCACCAACTCCAGACTGTTCTCAAGTGCCTCTAGTACACATTTCTGTCCCTGTGCTGGAGCCTACTGTAAGGGGCTACAAATGAAATTCTGTGCATTATCCCTTTAAGAGGTTCTCTGTGTCTCCAGCTGTCTCCCTGGCAGACAGAAACCCTGCTGCATTTCAAGCTGGATGTTACCAGGGTTCCTTTACAGTTCTGGAGCTGTAGGCTGGGGAGCCCACCTTGGGGTTTAGAACCCACACTTCTCAAGGGGAACCCCCCCAGCTCATGAAATATCCTTCCAGAACTTCAGCTGCCACCGTGGAAGCCCAGCCATCCTTCTTGTGTCTTCTTCACACTCACTACCGGTCTTGTGAAGTGGTTTCTTTTGTCTGTCTTTGTTTATAAGGCTTCTCTCCAGCTAGTGTTCAGTTGGTTATTATGGATTTCTCTACAATTAAGTTGTAATTCCAGATTGGTCCTGGGAGGAAGTTAGTGTAGCTTCCAGTTACTCCTCTGCCATCTTGGGTCTCCCTTTCTCCTACTTTTAAAACTAATTTCCCTCAGAATCAGGTTGTGAGTTGTCACTACATGTGGCTCTTATTATTTAATATTAAACTTTATTATATTACAAATATTACCATTTCCTCATTTTTCTCTTAAAAGAGAAAAGGCTTGACCTCTCCAGTGTGGCTGAGTTGTTTGAGCGTCATCCCTGTAGAGCAAAAGGTCACTGGTTTGATCCCTGGCCAGGGCTCATGCCTAGATTGCAGGCCGTCCCCAGTTAGGGCTTGTGCAAGAGGCAAATGAGTGATATTTCTCTTGCATGTTAATGCTTTCCTTCCTCACTTTCTCTCTCTCTAAAAATAAATAAAATCTTTTTAAAAACTACCATAAAAAATAATAAAAATAAAGGATTCTTTTCCTCCTCTAAGTAGTTAGGTTGAATCATGATTCATAATTTTATTAAAACTTTCAGGCTTACTGTATATGGAAAAATTTAACCACTGTCACTCCTCTGCCTGGTGTAAAAGATTCTGGAGCAGATGGGAGTGATGGGGATTTGCATAAGAGGATTTGTAATGTCTATTGGCTGCCAGGGGTTGTATCATACATAATGTACATCAACATTGTTAGGCCTGTTTTAGTGGTAAAATATCTTTTAAAAGACAAATGAGATTAGATAAGTATATCCATTATAACAGTAAGAGTTAAGTAATACCACGTAAATATGCAGCAAACAGACACATTTTCCAGAAGTTGCTTAATTTGTGCATACTGTATTTACTGAGACAAGTCTGCAATAAGTTAGTTTTCTATTAAGCCACACACAAAGAGACTTTAAACTTTTACATTAACTTTTAAATGGCTTAATATAGAGATACTCCTAAATACCTTTAAGGTAAAATAGCACTTTTTAATAAAATGTTAATTGGTCCCTCTCATTGCAGCCTGAGCCAATCAGAGTCCTTGTGACTGGAGCAGCTGGTCAAATTGCATATTCACTGCTGTACAGTATCGGAAATGGATCTGTCTTTGGTAAAGACCAGGTAGGGACAACTGTCTATAAACCTTAAAGTAAGAATATTGTTAATAAAACCCTATATTTAGTTGCAAAGAAATTTTTTAATGGTGAATGGGTAATCCCAATAAATGTACTGGGCACACTATCAATGGAAGCACCCTTCCAGGTAGTAAAAATGCTTTGCAAATCATGTATTTAGTTGATTTGGTGCAGCCAGCAGGTGTCAGTCGGTGGAAGGTATTCACTAAAGACAGTAACTGTCAGGGAAAGTGATGCGGGAGAAAAAGTTGCCCAAAACAGACAGGTAAATCGACTTCCCAGGTTGAAGCAGACACCCTCTATTCTGATTAATGTACATTGATGTACATTAAAATTCTGATGAATGTACATTAAAATTCTTTTCTAAAATATTCATTTAACCATTTTATTCATCCATGGATATCAAATTCTTCTTTCACCACTAATACTGTGCTTAGCTTTCCATGAACTCCAATCAGATACACAGCCATAGGCACCATGTAACTTCAATTTGATATTCCAAGTACTCCTTTAAAATTCAGTAATAGTGATTCTCTTACTGTGTCTGTTAGCAACTATTGCTGATTTTATAGCATTCATTTTTCTATAAGCACCATCATGTTAAAAATACTTGAACCAAAATAATTTTGAATGATGGGAGTTATAGACAAATACACTCCAAATAAGCAAGAACTTAAAAGGACTTTTTTGTTACTAAATGACATAGCTTACACTGACAGATGCTGTCCTTGATATTTATTTGGCAGCCTATCATTCTTGTGCTGTTGGATATCACTCCCATGATGGGTGTCCTGGATGGTGTCCTAATGGAACTGCAAGACTGCGCCCTTCCTCTCCTGAAAGGTAAGTTAGAGAGTGGAAGAAAGTGATTTTTATAGTATTTTATGTCTTTCAAAAATTAGATTTCAGATTTTTGTTAACCTGTCCATTAGAAATTATTTCATAAAAGTTTGGGTTTTTTGAACTACAGCTATTGGGTAAGCTGTATTATAGCAAAAATAATAAAGGTAATCATGTACTGAGAATAAAGAAGGGTAAAAGCAAGAAAGCCAGTGTAAAGTAACTACTACTTTTACCCAACATGCTCATATATAATCTATTTTACTAGCTAAGTATAGTATCGTAATGGGTTTTGCACCTGAGATTGTCTACACTGTGTTGTTGTTTTAAAGTCTATTTAAGTAGTAATAATGCCATCCTGTAAGGGAGAACTTTTTTAACTCTAAATGATGTCTTCCAGAGCATATGCTGCCCTGACAGTGGAAGTGGGTTGGCCTCTCATATATAGACAGTCCCAGCCCATCTGCCAGTCATCTGGTTGAGATATAGTGTAAATTGTCATAGTCACACTACATAGTTTGAAAAAGTCTGCCAGAGTTCTGATAGCCTTTGAGAATTGTTGAACTATTATATAAATATAAGACAGAAATCTTTAATTTGAAAGGCTTATTAAAATGTTAGGTCAAGACATAAACTAACTTGAATATTTTTATTTAGCTATACCTTTATCATGATCTTTTTTTTATGAGGATTTAATTAATAATACTATCCTAGAAGTTGGCAAAATGTATACCCAAGAGAAACCATGCTCAGAATTCACATATTGGTTTGGCTAAAAAAAGTTTGTATTATTTTATCTGTAAATTAAAAGACACGTTTTTCATTTTCACCATTAACTTTATTGATTTCAATATTTTGAGTATGCTGGCTCTCTCCTGCATGGTATAACGTTGATTGTTCTCAATCAATCTCAAATGACCACTGTCAACTTTAACTGGTCTACCCAACTATGGAGCATTGTCCAGCGAGAAACTTCATGAAACAGCATGAAACTTCACCAACCACTTCTCACACGTTTAATCAGTCACAGCACCTTCTCCATAACTGCACAAATCTTTTTTTGCACTTCAGTTGCATTTTTACCTTTCTTGAAATAATAAAGCATAGTATACCAAAACATTGCCTGTTTTCTTCCATCTTCAGTAGTGAAATGGCTACACAAAAATTCACCACTTTTAATAAGTTTTTTTAAATGCATGCTGATATGACAGCCATAACAATATAGTCTTACAAAATTGTTTCAAATGAAGATACAGACAATTAAATACTACTAGAGCCATCTTATAGAAAAAGTAAACAAACTTACTGGCCAACCCAATACATGTTCAATAAACATTTACTGAAGGGATATTGCCAGCTAAATCATTTTGATGCACAGTTATATAAGAGAGTACATTACCCTGCCCAAGCTATTCAGCTGGCTCCCTTGCTTTACCCATTTCCAAATCAACTTCCTCTGCTACTTTTTCCCATTTTTATTCCTCTCTCTGGTGAGTTTCTTCTACCCAGCTTATAGGCAGCTTGTCCTTGGTCAGCTCTGAGTAAGAGAGTGAAGGGAATATTCAGCACATAGGAATGTATGGCTGGGAATAAGATGGCTTTTTTTTTTTTTGTCCAACTGGTCTTCCTACATATACCTATTGGGGGCTTATAGCAGCCTGACTATCACAAAAGTTCACTGATATAAAAATTTATGCCAAATACTGGTTGTCTTAGTCCATGTGAGCTGCTTTAACAAAAATACCATAGACTGAGTGGTTTATAAACAAAAACTTAATAATACAATAAACAAAAGTTTAGTAAGCAAAAACTTATTTCTCACAGTTCTGGAGGCTGGAAAGTTAGAAATCAAAGACCCAGCAGATTGGGTGTCTGGTGGGAGCCCAGTTCTTGGTTTATTGATGGCCATCTTCTCACTGTGTCCTCACTTGGTGAAAGGGATGAGGCAGCCAGCCCTCAGGGCACTAATCCCATTCATGAGGGTTTCACCCTCATGATCTAATCACCTCCCAAGGCCCCACCTCTTCATACCATCATATTGGGGATTAGTTACAACATACAAATTTTGTGGGAGACACAAACATTCAGTCTATAACAGTGGTCATGGGCTTTTTAATTACTTTTAATACTTAAACTAATTATAACTTGAAGGTTAGGTGAATTAATTTCTCTTTTGTGTTATCTGTGGTTACTAGCCTGAATAACAAATGTTACCTTGAAAGTATCACATTATACCTTTGTGTCATATCTGATTATAAAAGATAAAAGGCAGAGAATTTTTGAAATTGCAATAATTACTGAAATAGGAAAAGCGGAATAAATATACTGACATTCCTACCCATGTTATTGTTGGATTCATAATTTGTCTTACACCCCTAAGACTTTTATCAGTGTGATGATGTAAAAGTAAACATTTGCTACAAAGTGAAGGAGTTACTGGATAAGTTCAATGTGAAAAAGAACTTTGGTGTTTTAGTATCTCTGCATATTTATTGCCATGTTGCTCGCAGATGTCATCGCAACAGATAAAGAAGAGGTTGCCTTCAAAGACCTGGATATAGCCGTTCTTGTGGGCTCCATGCCAAGAAGGGATGGCATGGAGAGGAAGGATTTACTCAAAGCAAATGTGAATATCTTCAAAACCCAGGGTGCAGCCTTGGAGAAATATGCCAAGAAGTCAGTTAAGGTGACTAATACAGTAGTATTTTGTGGGGTTTTTCATTATCAACATTTGAAACTCCTGCTTTCAGCATTTAAGTGAAAACAAAATTCTTTGCCCACCTCCCTGCCCCACTCCCCATCCAGTTCTGTGCAGTAGTCAGCAAATACAGATACAGAGTTCTGCTTGATAAGCTCTCCCTTTCTGGGTTTTCCTCTTACATATAGAAATCTGTATTCAGCGGTGCTCGAAAATATTTTGCCTTTTACTATTACACGGAAGTTTAATATTAGTTTGTAAACCTGTAAGGCACAGAACTTCCTGGTGCCTTTAAGCTGTGTGGGAATATTTGTCTAGATGTTGGGGTTTGTTTGTGATTGTGGAGGGCGGTGGCTATAAGCTGTGTTCTTAGCAATAGGAGATGGTGGCTTCTGAATACTCAAAATTTCTCAGTGGAGTGATATGCCTATGTCTTGAGTCAGTATGACTTCCTGTCTTTTTTATGATCAGGCTATTTCCCAAATTTGTCTTGCTACTGCAATAAAGTCTCCTTTTACCAATTAAATATCAGTGAAGTAGATCTTAGTTGTCACAGCAGAAGGTTTGCCAGTCAGAGGTTTTGTTGATTTTGATACAGTTCTACCTCTGTATCCTGACTTCAAAGAATGATAAAGGAAATGTTACAAGACTTTTAAAGTTGCCAGTTACAATACTCTGTTGTAGTACTTCAAGACATCTGACTGTTTGCTTTCTGTGGACTTCCTTTTAAATAATTAACTTCTTTTTCTGTAATCATTAGCAGAAAATAATAGAGATAAGTTAAATAGTAATCCACAGGTCTCTTAGTAAAAAATTAGTTGTTGTACTGTTGTTCACACTGTAATCATTTGTACAGTAATCGCCCCTTACACCAAGTGTCCCCTTTTGGGAAACACACACTGACATGGAGTACTTAGGGGCATTAGATACCAAGTCTGCAGCTTACTCTCAAGTGGGCCAGAAATAAAAAACTAAGGGGTGGGGATAGGCAGGAAGGGAGGGAGAGAGATGGAGCAAATTAGAGAACCTGGGTCAGGGGGATGTAGAACTTAGTCCGTAATATGCTTGTAGCCTTTCTGTAAGTTTGATGTTTCAGTTTTTTAAATTATCATTTTATTAAGGATTTTTAAAACTTGAAAGTCCATGTGTACATTTTTCTGTATTGTATTATAATCCAGTGTATCCCATAGCTCCCCAATTAAAAAAAAAAAAGCCTAAAATGCTCTCTCCTAAAGATTAAATCAGTAGGTATATGGAATGGTTGGGACTTGGTAATCTTTAGTTTAACAAATATCTCAGTTAATTCTTAGGATTAGGCAAGATTGAGAAACACTTTTAATTCACAAAAACAAATCATTGTCCTAAACTACTTGCAGAATTTCTTTCTTGGACTACTTTTATAAGAAGGGAAATTTTATCAATGAATCAAACTCAGAGATAGAGCCTTAGATTACTTGGTTGTTTTTTTGTTTTATTTTGGTGGGGGGACATGGGTTGGCAAGGAGATAAATGCTCTATCCATTTTGGCACAAAACAAAATAGAAAGACATGTACTTTATTTAGGTCCTGGACATCACTACCTAAAAAGTGTCTTATATGCATAATGGTGGTTTTATTAAAGAAATGTTTTCAGTAGTCACAGCAAACCCTAACAAGGGGGGGAAGTTTATAGACGAGAGAATAGAAATCTACTAGAAACTGTTTACAATGATAACTACATATTTAGCTGACACAAATTTGATGCAAATGCTGCATGTTATATACATCTGTCAGTCGTATTCTAAGACAGTTTGGTTAAACAGTATATGGTCTGTAACTCTGCTGTGGTGGGTTACCATAGGTGATCGTGGTGGGAAACCCAGCCAATACCAACTGTCTGACTGCCTCTAAGTCAGCACCATCCATCCCCAAGGAGAACTTCAGTTGCTTGACGCGTTTGGATCATAACCGAGCTAAAGCTCAGGTAAGAAAGATGCCATTTAAAGTCTCGTGAATGTTCAGCTTTATAAAATCTTTTTTTCTCACTTTTAAAGTAGCTGAATCTTAGTTGTGGTGCTGCTGCTGCTGTTGTTGTTGTTGTTCTTGTTTAGTAGGAAGCTATTCCAGTTTGTTAAGTAGTCTTTAAAGCTGGTCTTATAAGGACCTGAGCTGAACTTCCTACTTAATTTTCTCAAGTATATTTCATTTGCTAACAATAATTAAATGGTGGTTGCTAATGTCCTCTTACAACAGCAGTTTAAAAGTACTCACCAGTGTAGATAATTCACATGATAGTACATAATTGAGTTTATTTTTATCAGATGTATAGGATATTATGAAATGAAAGATTTAAGCTTTATGTGTTTGTTGGTTCTGCTTTCTTTTTCCCTACAGCTAAGCAATCAGATTCAGATTTTTTAATTGTTAATTTTATATTCTTTTTCATTTTATATCTTTTTAATATCCTACATGTTTCCATAAAATTTCCTACTTTTCACTGTTTAGCAACTAAGTTTTCATGATCATCAAGGAGTGTTACCTCTTGGAGCCTTAGATATATGTATACCAAGGGGTCAGTCACCAGGGCATTACATAGCTTGTTTAAAAAATTAAAGACCATGCCACTCTTCTGTAATAGTTTCCTAGGCTTTCTCAGATCTAGATGATCCTGGTGCCCTTAGAAGCCATGACAAAGTTCTAGTTCTGAAACAGCCTCTCTCCTTTTCCCTAGTGATCTTCTGGTCATCTCTCCTTACCCACAGGTCATCACTGCTGGATAGATCTACGAGTTTAGTTCTTTCTCTTCTAGAGAAGACAGCTTTGTTTAGTTTCAAGAAAACTATTTTTTATCAAACGATGATGTGAGTGAGCTCTGCTGTATACAGAGAATTGATCATCTTTCAGCTTTGGAGTGCCCAGTGAAAGAGAAGATAATTTACATTCATTAAGCTTCTACTGTGCTTTACCTATGCTTTACCATTTAATTCTTATAGTAACTGTATAAAATATTCATTATTATCACTATTTTACAGATAAGAAATGTGAAGCCCAGGATGGTCAGGGAACCTGCTTAAAATCACACAGCTAGTAAACAGTGGAGCCACCTAGCTTTGCCAAGTCCAAACCCTTGTGTGTATTCTTACATGATGGGATAGAGTAACCTAACTGAACTCACTAGCTCTGTGATCTTGAGAAAGTGTATCTAAGCTATAAATGGGATAATAATTGTATCCATCTCAGAGTAGTGCGTGGATAAAATAAGATCTATGTTAAGACCTTATCATGGTGCCTGTTAAATTGTAAAACTCAGTGAAGGTTGGCTGCTATTATTATGAGAAATATATCCAAGAGTTGAGAAGAGCTACACCTCAGCAATACTTCCCTAAATATTCCAGTTAATGTAGAAGGTCTTTGGGTAACAAACTTAAATTGTAAATAATTCCTGAGAAGTTTAAGACTGTGGGCTGGGACTTTTCCCCTATTATTTAGCTAGAGTCTGGTGGCTAGGAAGGAATGGGAGTGTGTTTGAATGACTGGAGGCAGGAAACTTGGCTACTACAGAAACTAGCACAGATGAATGGTATGGCCTCTATAATTTGAGTACTATGGAACATGTACTATTTAACAGTTTAGGAAGAGATATTATAGATCTTTGCAGTTGTAGATTCTGGATTGCCAGATGGTTACTTAATTTCATTGCAAGAGGGAGAAAGGTAAAGTGACAATACCAGTAAACTTTCATGTTTGCTGTTTCAACTGAGACCCTGGTGGAGCAGGCATTGGAAAAGTCTGCTTCCTGAGGTACTACTACGTGACACTTTGTCCCTGTACCTGAAAGAATTTTCCTTGTAGGGGTGAAAGTCTAAATGAGGAAAGCAGTAAGAAGCGATCTCATCAAACTTTAATATTTGGTACATGTTCAGCATGCCAGTCTGGCACAGTGACAGCTTTTAGGAAGTTTTTGAAGAAGCAGTTTCTTCCTTAATCCAGTGAAAAAAATAACAAACTCAAAGATGAATTTTTCTTACATGAATGGTTACTAGTCTCATATAATTTGTTTTGGAATTCAAAGGACTTCACTACCTAACAATTGTTTATCACCTTCAGAACTCCCCTGTGTATTTGCAGACCAGATTTACATATGTGTCTGCTGACAAGGCAATTTGGCAATGAAACCAGTTAGCTGGTATCAGGGGAAGAAAATTGCTGTGGCTGGAGAATTAGTGAAAACCACTTAATAGATTTATATGACAGACATGAACGTGTCTAAGGGAGTGAGAAGCTGCTATCCTGGATACATGTTAATTTAAACTAGCTCTGACATGAATGACATTCAGAAACTATATCTGCAAAGGACTGGCTTTTGCTATGCACACAGAGGTAGAGTAGCTCAAGAGATCAAAAGAACAAGAGCAGGTGGGCAGGCAACAGGACAAAGGAAATAGGAAGAGCTCTGTAGTGAGGAGAGGCCTAGAGACGATGTCTGCACTCTACTTTGGAGTAACTGACACTGCCATTCAGCAAAATGTTCTGAGTTCTTGATAATATATATCTTGGGTTACTTGCACCGAGTATAACTTTTCCTTTTTCTCTACAATGCCAACTAAATAAGGACAGTTCTTCCCAAGTCCTTTCCAGTTATGGCACACACAGAAAATGGTACTCATTGTACAACACACCACTCTACTCCAGCCACTAAGCAGGTCAATAGCTGGGTACCCCAGAAACCAGCCATCCATTTAATTTGTGAAGACTGATACTGTAGTTAATGCTTGTAGAACTCTAGATGAAGCAGGGTTTAGAATGATTTGTTTGTTTGATTTTTATTTTTTATGTTGAAATAATTATAGACTCAGAAGAAGTCCCAAAAATAGTATAGAGAATCGCATGTACCCATTATGGGCTTTCCTCGGTGGATCCATCTTACGTAACTCTAGAGCATTATCAAAAGTAGGAAATTGACTAGACTACTCACATCACTGTTAACTAGAGTTACTCAGATTGCTGCAGTTTTTACATTTTCATATTTCTTTAAGAATGATTCTGTGACATTTAATCGTATATATAGATTACTATAACCACCATAATAATCTAGTCAAAACAGAACTGTTCCATCACCCACGAAAGAACTCCTCTAACATATCAACTTTGAAAAATTCTTTTTCGAGGCCCTGGCTGGGTCATTCCATTAGTTAGAATGTAGTCCCCATATGCCAAAGTTACAGGTTCGATTTCCAGTCAGGGCACATACAAGAAGCAACCAATGAATGCATGAGTAAGTGGAACAACAAATTGATGTTTCTCTCCCCCTTCCTCTCTGTCTGTGAAATCAGTATTTTAAAAAAAAAATTCTTTTTCAAAATATTTCTTTCTAGTTTATCATAAATTATTCTGTCTAGCCTTGACTGGTATGGTTCAGTGGATTGAGTGCTGGCCTGCAAACCAAAAGGTTAACCAAAAGGTTGCCAGTTCAATTCTCAGGGCACATTCCTGGGTTGCAAGCCAGGTCCCCAGTAGGGGGTGCAGGAGAGGCAACCATACATTGATGTTTCTCTCCAGCTCTTTCCCCTTCCCTTCCCCTCTCTCTAAAAATAAATTTTAAAAATCTTTTAAAAAATTCTTCTGTCTAATTAGAAACAAAGTAATCACATAACTAACCATAATGTTTTTTTCTGCACATTACCTTATCAGGCAAATCACAAAAGGAACAAACTAATTTTATTTTATGTAAATCTTTTAAAACATAACTTTGTAACACTTTCTGTGACCCCTGTTCTATATAATCTAATTGATGCTCATGTGACCACAAGGCCTTAGGATCCTAAAGTACTTTTTGAAACTATAGCTAGAGATTGTTACATCTGTTATTTTAGTATTATAGATATAATTTTAAACTGTTTTCTTTGGTTTGCTAATCTGTAAAATAAGGATAGTCAAACTTTGTTCATCTGAGTCCCTTCTAACCCTAAAATTTCATGTTTGGGATTATTTGAAAATTACTCAGTTTATATATTATATATAATAAAAATTTCACCTAAATGTAGAGAAAGTACCTAACTACCTAATTGTTCTGAAGTGCTGAGGCAACATCTCCAAGTAAGTAATAACAACAAAGAAAGAGTCATATTTACATATTCAAGTAATATTAACCTCTTGCTTGGTGTTTTATATTTGATAAACCCATATCAGTTAGCCACAAACTGTATGATGGTCTCTACTCTTAAACAACAGGTCACAATTTGAAATGAAAAGCATGTGTCTAAGTAGTGTATTTGTTTTCCATTTAACTAGATTGCTATTAAACTTGGTGTGACTTCTGATGATGTAAAGAATGTCATTATCTGGGGAAACCATTCCTCAACTCAGTATCCAGATGTCAACCATGCCAAGGTGAAACTGCAAGGAAAGGAAATTGGTGTTTATGAAGCTCTGAAGGATGACAGCTGGCTCAAGGGAGAATTCATCACAGTAAGAAAAATCTGGTAGCTCTCTGTAATAGCCAAGCATAAAGAGATCTCGAGAGACACCACATTACTGAGAGTTCTCCAGTGGTGGGGCGAGGGAAAGATACAAGGAGAGCAGGTCTTTCGCAGTTGTCTAATGACTACATACCTTATTTCGGGGTCATGCTAAGCCTCGTGATCCACTCTGACCTAATCTGTTGTATGGTAGTCAGGATCGATTGTTAAAGTGGAGAAAAATAGAAAAAGTGCAAATATCTAGATATCTTTAAACAGAGATCCATTTCCTTGTATGAAATATGGTAAACTTTTCTGTGGCGATTTATAGTTTTCCGTTTTCTAAAAAGACTGGTTTTCTAAAAAGGAAGATTTCTAAACGATTTTCTAACTGAAATGGGTAGTAAGGCCAACATTGGGTAGTTGCCTGATTTTGGAGGAGGCACATTAAGCCATGGTTGCAGCCTTTCACCCCAGGATCAGTTTGAAATTGATGAAAATGCAGCTGTTACAATCAGGTAACATAGCTGTCTCTACCTATCCCCACCCAGACGGTGCAGCAGCGTGGCGCAGCTGTCATCAAGGCTCGAAAACTATCCAGTGCGATGTCTGCTGCAAAAGCCATCTGTGACCACATCAGAGACATCTGGTTTGGGACCCCAGAGGTAAGGACTCAGTGATTTGCACAGACCACTCTTTTACTTTTGTCCTCTGGTACTCTAAGGTAAAAAGAACATGGCCTTAGCATTCAGGCAGGTTAGGTTCGCATCCTGGCTCAACTGCCTGTTAGCTGGGTAACCTTGCGAAAGTTACCTAACCATTCTGAGCAGTCTTGTCATCTTTCACATGGTTGCGAGGTTTAAATGAGATGATACACATAAAAACCACCTGGCACCCATGGCAGGAGTGACATTTTTTTCATTTAAAGCCTATATCGGGCCATAGTTTCATCATTAATAAAAAGGGGGATTTTGTTTCTCTGGCCTACTTCACACGTGGATTGGAAGAGAGGAATGAGACAGTACCCACGGAAGGTACCCTGTCATAGAAGTGCCTGGTGACGGTTTCTTACACGGTAATGAAGTTATGCACATAATAAGAACGTGTCACCTATTTTAATTTGGTTAGTTCATGTGTCAGTTGGTTATATAAACTAGTTCTTAAGCTTTATAAGAATGTAAAAATTGTTATTTTCAGGGAGAGTTTGTGTCCATGGGTGTTATCTCTGACGGCAACTCCTATGGTGTTCCCGACGATCTGCTCTACTCGTTCCCTGTTACAATCAAGGTAAGGTATTTCAGAGTTATTTTCCTCTGTCCCCTACTGGGAAAGTAGTTGTATATTTTTATTAATAATGACATAATTTAGTCTAGAAAGTTGTTCCTTTACTAAATTAGACATTTTTCTCAGCTTTAAAATCATGTAAAGTACAACTTCAGGTCACTGAAAGATTGAAATTAATCTGGAAAGCAAGATTCAACTCTCTCCACTAGACATATTTTGTTATTATGCCTCTAATTGAATACCTGCAAACAGTATCTTCTAAATCAGGGGTGTCAAACTCATTTTCACCAGGGGCCATATCAGCCTCACGGTTGCTTTCAAAGGGCCAAAATAATTTTAGGACTGTACAAATGTAACCACTCCTTAACTGTTAAGGAGTTGAAATTACATTCAGCCCATTGAAGGCAACCATGAGGCTGATGTGGCCCCCAGTGAAAATGAGTTTGACACCCCTGTTCTAAATCAAGCGGTAGTTCTTGGTATTATTGCTCTTTATTATAAAATTATTAGGGTTTTTTTTGCTTGCTAATTAATCTTCATTTAAAGATTTTTGTCTAGATTCAATAAGTTTTAAATTCAAGTATTGAGTTTGTGTCCAAATTAGTAAAGGGTGAAGGGGACCAAATATACGGTGGCAAAAGATGATTTGACTTTAGGTGGTGGACATACAGTGCAATATACAGATCACATATCATAGAAATGTACACTCAAAGCCTGTATGAGCCTATTAACAAATGTCACCTAGTAAAAATTTAATTTTGAAATATCTTTTAAAATTAAATTAAAAATTACCTGTTAAGATCTGGGTTTTGATTTGTTTTAGAATCTGACTTTAAAACAGATACTCTCTAGATTGAAGTTCAGACTAACTTGTTCATTGCTAGAGAATCAATTTTAATTCAGTTGTCTTTTATTTGCAATTATTTTCAAACAGAATAAGACATGGAAGATTGTTGAAGGTCTCCCTATTAATGATTTCTCACGTGAGAAGATGGATATCACTGCAAAGGAACTAACAGAAGAAAAAACAACTGCTTTAGAATTTCTTTCCTCTGCATGACTAGACAATCATTGTGAAGTTACTAAATACCCCAAAGCTGAAGAATCTAAATGTCGTCTTTGACTCTAGTATCAAATAATAATGCTATACTTAAATCACTTGTGAAACACAGCACATTTTAAAGAGTGTGTGCTTCTCGGTACAAATTTGTGAAAGTTTATCATCATGCTATTAGTGTTGCATTCTAAATAAAATATATATTCAAAGGAAAATGACTTAGATTCTAATTTTTAGCTAATATTTTGTTTCTCTTCAGAAAACAAACTTGCATGTTTCCCAGCTTGCTGAACGGGGTGTGATTTTCTTAAAACCAAAGAAAGGCAGTAAGATAGAAAATGTTACACGGGAAGGCATATAGGAAAATCTACCTTTGATAATCAATTTAATCCAGAATATATTTTAAACATTATCTTTATTAGGTGATTAAACACCTATCATATTTTTAAATCTTAAAGTTTAGTTCATGTTTTGTGGATAATTTGATTTTAACACTAGCTTTTTAAATAGGTTGCAAATAATACTCTTTTAACAGTTCAATGCTATTGTATGAACTGAGAATAATCATCTTCAAAATAGAAGAAAAAATACCTTTCCTGTAGGTATTCCTCTAAAGCAGATTAGGAACCATTTACATTTTATAACCAACTGGTCAGTGCCAAAGGAATTTATGCTAGCTGGACTGTTCTCGATCTAAGCTTATTACTAGAAGCATAGTGTTGTTTTAAAACATATATAAATAAAACTAGGCTTTTTTCCCCCCAAAATCAATGAGAACAGGAGTTGTCCATCCTTTCATCCTTGTACTTAACTCATTATACATAATAGGCACTCAATATCATAAATCTCTCAGGGCCTAATAGAAAGTGTTTCATGGGTGCTCACATACTTGGTTGGATGTTATTTAAAGTGACCTATATTGTTGGGTTAGCTAAAACGTCCATTTAGTTTTTTTTATAAAACAAAAGACACACTTTCCATTTTCACCAATAACTTGATTGACTTGGATGTTCTGAGTATGTTGGCTATCTCCTGCTATTGGCTTCTAGTGGGTAGAGGCCAGGGGTGCTGCTGAACATCTTCCAATGCATAAGAGCTCAACAGCAAAGAAGGATTGAGCCAAAATGTCAATAGTACAAAGACACTTTGCAAACCACTTTTGACATGTTCAGTCAGCCACAGCACCCTCTCCATATACTGTACAAATCTTTATGCGTTTCTGTTGCTGCTTTATTCTTGAAATAAAGCATAATACACCGAAAATGTGGATCTTCCATCTTCAATATTAAAATGACTGCACAAAAATTCACCAGTTTTTATAAGGCTTTTTTTAATGCACGCAGATAAGGACAGTTGTCACAATACAATCTAACAAAATTGTTTCAAATGAAGTTAAAGATAAGCACTACTAGAGCTATCTCACAGATCAAAACATTAGACTTTTTGGCCAACCCAATATGTTTCATATGTAGGAAAGAAAAACAAGAGTGGAAAGTGCTTTTATAACTCCTGTTAATCAAATGCATTAAAAATAAAATTTCATATAGGATTGATTTTTTTTTATATAAAGGAAGTTTGAATATGTACCAGCTATACAACTAGCTCCTCCCTGCTGTTAAAACCCTGCCATAAAGGATGCTACAAGGAGCTTAGAAGGCTGAGGGAGAAACACTCTGCTTCTCCCTTGGCTTCCTCCAACATTACCTTCTCTCCACTTTTTATATTAGCCAAAAAGGAGATATGAAATGAGTTAAACATATCTTCAGAAAAGTAATGGGAAGCATAAAAGTAATTATGTGTAGAATTTTTTAAACATATGAAGACAGTATATATGTATATAAGTTTTAAGGACTAGGAGATACAACTGGAAAATACAGTATTTCCAAAGCTAAACTATCTCCAAAATGTGTTCATCTCTCTTGTCCATTTGTGTAAAATAGTCTGTTAATTCGATTTCATGAATTAACTACACCAATCCTTCAAAATCAGGGATCACATAAATATAAATGAAATGGTAGTATGCTTTGGAGAGACCTGGTTAATTATAGAAATAAGTAATTTCAGCCCTGGCTGGCATGGCTCAGTGGCTTGAGAGCCAGCATAGAACTAAAGGGTCACAGGCTCAATTTCCAGATCAGGGCACATAACTGGACTGTGGGCCAAGTCCCCAGTAGGGGGTGCACGAGAGACAACCACACATTGATGTTTCCCTGTCCCGCCCTCCCTCTCTAAAAATAAATAAAATCTTCTAAAAAGGAAAGAAGGAATTTCTCACCAACTGGGCTTCAGAAGCATGGCTTTGTTTGAATATTCACATTGCAAAATTTATTTATGCATTTCCTTATGCTATTTGCTTCTGTCACCTTAACTAAGAACAAAGCATTGCATTGCCCCCTCCCTTAAACAAGAGTCTGGGCCCAAGAAATCATGCCCTCAAGAAGCATGAAAAATGCTTATGAAAAGCCCAGGTATTTCATAAGCATTTTATTAAAACTTGAACAAATGACACATAGGTGGATTACAGGACAAAAGACATTACATTTTAAACCAGTAAAGTTGGGTTCAAAACATTCCAGAAAGGGTACAATCTGAGTAAAATAAACCTTATGAGAGAATTGACCCCTGCAGATCATGACCCTGGTAATAATGTTTCCTAAAGGGAAAGAAGGCCAGCAACAGCTTTTTAAAAAATAAAATGGATTATGTTAATTATAAGAAAGCATCAAGAGAAAAAAAGCCCTATAATCCTACTGCTAGTTAAATCAGTTTATATAAAAATCCTTTTATGTCAGAAATCAATGAAATGGTGTTAAATGAAAACTGAAAACTCTTCTCTCAAGGATAAACACTTTTGAAACTTTTTCTATCTTTCCAGGAAAGAAAAACATACAAACACATATTTATTTTGAGAGTTTTTTCTTAAAAAATAAAGGGATATACAGTGAAATTTGCTTGTGTACCTGACTGGCACCCACTTAAACCCCATTCTTGTCTCCTCGTCTATAGTACAAAAATGATCAGTGTGCAACCCAAGTACATATGTAAGTATGTAGGTGTGTTTTTAATTGCTCCCTTTTTGTACATGAATTATAACATGCTAAATATACTGTTCTGCACTGTCTTTCCCCCTCACTGTCTTAGAGCTATATTAATACCTTTAGATCTGCCTCATTCATTTGAATAGCTGTGTAATGTCCTATTGAATGGGTATACCATGTTCATGTAGTCATTCTTCTGTTATTGGACTTTCTTAGGTTCTTTATAATTTTTCATTACTGTAAAGATGCCAAACTACCATTATAGTTGTAAGTAGGTTATTTCACACATGCTTAGCTGTATATGTGGGATAAATTCTTAGAGTATTTTTTTAACACTGTTGAATCAGGTTTGTTTTTAAAAGCAGCAGTCTTCTGAATCCTATAGTAATATGTATTTTAAAAGCGTTTTAATGTATGGTTTTCTCTTTTCAACAATACCTTGATTAAACCAGCCACAATATTTCTCAAGGAGTATTGACCAGGAGCAAAGTCTATTAGAAGGTACATTTTTAGTATATAAACTTAAGAATTAGGCTATGAAAAAGTAACAGAAATAGGTTCTTAGTTGTCCTTTTGAAATTAGAATAAGAACTCATAATATTATGGCTTTAACCAACCTTAACAAAACAAGAAACATATCCATGTTTTGGTTTCTGAATATCCATTGGTTCTGATACAACCTAAAAGGGTTATTGACTCAGCAGGAGTAAATAGGCCTTGAGATATTTTCCTATTAATGTCCTTTAATTGGTATCACCCAGCACAGCTCCTTACAATATAGTGAATGTTGAGCAAACATTTAATGAGTGAATCAGTTCTTGCCCATATCTTCTAACTAAGATAGGAATACACTTGTGACCTAAAACTGAATTGAACCAATAGTCTGGCCTGGGTAATGCAACTGAGTTTTAAAACGCAACTGAGTTTTAAGCAGAACATATGTGTTTACATTTTTTAATTGATTTTTTGAGAAAGAGAAACACCTGTTGTTCCACTTATTCATTCATTGGTTGATTTTTGTATGTGCATTGACAGGATAGAACCCACAACCTTGGTGTATTGGGATGGCATTCCAACCCACTGAGCTACCAAGCCAGGACAGAATAGATGTGTTTAAATCATCCAGTTTCTTCATATTCCCATCACCAATGCTCTGGTCCAGGCCAATCCTAATTGCTTCAAAAAGACTATTGCAATAGAGCTGGGAATGCACTCTGTGGACTCTATGCCTCCTCTCTCTCCACAGTCCAATCTATACCTTCGCACCAGAGCTATTGGTTAAGGATGATATTTTACTTCCCACTTTCTGCATAATAGACAAACTCATGCACTTGGAAGTCAGACAACGCTGGATTTAGACCCCATCTCTTTTTCTAGGTATCCCTAAACAACCTCTTAGCTACAAAATGGGGATAATAATAGTATCTCCTCCATAAAGTTTTTGTGAGGATTAAATGGAAAGCACATAGTAAGGGCTTGATTTATTTGTTGTTGTTGTTTTTCTTTTTTTAATTTCTTAGCATCATTTAAATGCCTATCATAATCTGGTCTCAAGTGACACTTCACAGCCCCACCTTTGACTGTCATTCCCTGTCCCCAGTGCACTTTCACTCGAACCACATTAAACTACTTGGACTGCTATTCACTTTTATGGTTATAGTTTTTATTATGCTGTTTTTTCTTCTTGGAATATTCTGTTTCTCCAGAGTGCATTACAAATAGATGAAGAAGGGAAATTCCAAGAACCTCTGTCCCACTGTCTTAAGATTACTTCTCCAGAAGTAGACCTTAAGAAGAGGTTTCCAGAATTTGAGTGCATGTGACTTATTAAGGCAATTTTCCCAGGAGAAATCTCTAAGACAGAGGGAAGGACAGGAACAGAGAAGAGGAGGAAGCCAGTGGTGCAGCCAACCAGCATGGCTCCAGCGTGATCAAGTCATGGACTCCTGTTCTGAGGTGAGGAGGCTGGGGCTTTCAAATTCCCCAAACTTTCAGTCACGGTTATGGGAAGGGTGGGGTGGTAATATCCAGACATCTCCCATTCTCTGTGCTGCCAGCAAAGCAGCCTCTAGCAGCCCTGGCTAAATCTTCTAGGAAAGAATCTCAGATGCTGACTTTGGAAAGCAAAAGAAAACTTAAGGTGGTAGGAGTGTGGGTGATACAAGGGGCCTGGGCAG